CATGTGTAATATGCACAGACATACCACTCTGCCATACTCCACCATTGAGAAATCAATGTCTTATGCACAGACATACCACTATGCCATACTCCACCATTGGAAAATCAATGTGTTATGCACAGACATACAATTATGCCATACCCCACCATTGGAAAATCAATGCAACTGCGTTTATATACAATATTTTTTTCTTTTTTCTCTATTTCGAGATACTTTTTGCATGTGCAATGACGGAGACTCAATCGATTTAGGCTAAGGCCTGTGGAGAATCCATAACTTAAACACAATTGAAGGGCTCCAATTCAAAACGCTATAATGTCCAAACCGGAGCTTTTGCGTTTTTTTGTAATGGAAGAATTCATCATCACGCCACGGACGTCTGTGTGTGTCGGTTTTACGGGTCAAATTGAGATACATCCCAGTCAAAATGATGCCTAAAGTTTGCGTTCTTCTGCAAAACACGATAAAGGTCATTGCTGCTGCAGTGCAGACCGAAAAGAACAAAGGAAAAACTGCAGTTCCTGAACTTTCCATAAAACGGTTTTACATCGTGTTGAATCGGAGCCCTTCAATTGCAAATGCGATGCAGAGGTGGATCGTACTCAAATCCGAACATAAAAATGGACACATCGATGTTGATCAAAAATTGCACAGTTTTAATTGATCCTATCGAACTATTGTCAAAGTGAGATGTTGAAACTTGGGCAGTTATTGTAGAAGAAGGAGGCTGCTCCAGTTCAGCCGATGAGTCAGTGATGACGAGAGGGGAATTCCCCGAAACACTGTGTGTTGAGCAGAGAGTGGTGCTTTCTTGCAGGCTTCACGAGGGGACCGCCTGACGTACTTTTCATGTGCTCCACACGGCAGTCGTGAGTCAGTCGTCTTGGCACGAAGTGCAAGTTCAAACGTTTGTAGCAGCCATCTTCTTGGACTATTGCTAGTGCCGAAAAATGGAGAGGATTGAAACACTCCTTCATAGATAGTAGCAACCTGAAACTTGGGAATCTGAAAAAAATAGATTGTTGTAGATGACCTTCATGCAAAACAGATTTTTGCCAAAATGTAGGTAACATTCCAATTCTCCATTTCTACCTTGTTCGCTCACACATGATGCAACCAGGCGAAATTGTTCCTGTGCGCATTTATCTACCGTACAGGGTTTTCTCATTGTAAAGGCAGGGCAACATGTAACTGCTGGTGGCACTTCGGATGTAGGTAATTTCCAGAGCCACTAGCCATTCCAGAGCCACATAGCTTCATATCCTATGAGCGTATACACGTAAGTAGTGTAAAGTACAGCGAGTACGGCGCGTCCTTTTCTGGTCATAGTGTGGACGTGGGGTCCTGTCTGTAGGTCATACCACACGAACCGTTTATACACATTGCACGTTGTGCAGTCAATCCGTATACACGTTAACTTTTGGCGGACACGAGCTGCACACAAAAACCTAAGTGTGACTTTAGTACACTAAGGCTCTCACATCGCACACAATCTATTGCACTCTGCCATAGGATTATGTGTTTTCCCTGGCTGTGAAATCAAGGTGGGGTGCTCTGGTGGTAATTTACAGTAGAGACCAAGAGCAAACAGTACACAAGCCGCCGCCACACCAGTATAAAGTAGAAATTTATAGTAAGATCCTACCTGTGAACCTTCTTCATCTTGAAGGTGAGAAGGATGGCACATGCCACTGTCACGATGCTTACTACACTAGCAATGCCAACGATAGCTGCAGTTGATACACGCTGCTTTGTAGAATCATCGGCAGTGGAAGGCGGATGCAAGGATCGTGTTCCACTTGACATAGCTGATTTTAAGATGTAGGAGGTAGCGAGTTTGTGTGAAGTAGTCGTGGCGTCGTGGGCAGAAGCGCCGATGAAGTGGTAGTTGAACCGTAGGTTGTGACATTTTGGGCCACAAAAGGACATAAACAGAAACGAGGCATTCAGTACGAGATGTCGAGCAGCAACTAGTTACTTCTGACACACTGAGTGGTGTGGTACAGGCATACTGGGCCTACACAGAGTACACACCGAACCTACCATGAAAGACACATACATTCTTGCTCGCCTAGACGTATACAGCGTGCACACCGAGCCACCATGAAAGACACATACATCTTTGCATGGCTAGAAACAATTCTGCCACAAGTCTTTCTAGCACATGCTGAAGAAAGTTGTTGTCACTGCTCTAATGGTCACTTCTGCACCAGTAGATGCAACACAGTGGTCATAAAGTGTTTTCAAAACCCACTGCAGTGCTTGATGCACTCACTGAAAGTGCAAGGCAAGGAGAAACAGAATAGAACGTACCACTGGTAACAGGAATTGTAGGAGAGACTACTGAATAGAACACAGCAAAATACACGCACACAGATACCAGCGATTTTAGGGTAGCAAAAGGACAGAAACGAAAACGAGGAATTCAGGACCAGAGCTAGAGGTCCGGCAGCAACTAGTTACTTCCGACATGCTCTGTGGTGTGGTACAGACATACTAGCAGTGTCTGCTCTAGGATTGTAGGACAGCCGGGTACACGTGTTCCTGGCGCAACCACTTCAACCGGGTCGGAGCCGGGTACACATGTGCCTGGCGCTGTCTCACCAGCCGAGTCACATGCGAGGTCTGTGGATTCGCCTCTTCGCTGGAGGCTCAAAGCAACACCTCAAACGATCAAGCTCAAACTGAGAACTTGCACACACCGGATACTGACTACTTTCACTTCGATGCGCGCCTCTGCATGATCTGTCACACATACAAGCCATGTAGTCAATCCCTTCAAAGTTCGAGCGTGTAAAGTACCAACCGGGTCACAGGTGACCCGGTACTATATTTTCAACCGGGTCCAAGCGCCGTCCAACCGGGTCGATTACCCGGCTCACCCGGCTCTGGAGCAGACACTGACTAGTCGTATACGGAGTACACAACGAGCCTACCATGAAAAACACATACATTTTTGCACGACTTGTCGTATAGAGAGTACACACTGAGCCTACCATGAAAGACACATACATCTTTGCGCGGCTAGAAACAATTCTCCCACAAGTCTTTCTAGTACATGCTGCAGAAAGTTGTTGTCACTGCTCTAATGGCCATTTCTGCACCAGTAGATGCAACACAGTGGTCATACAGTATTGTTGAAATGAGCGTATCTAAAACAAACGAGCGATCGGTTCCACTAACGAGCAAGCTATCGAGCGAGCTAACGAGTTTCATTGATGTGGCAAATATGTTTTTTTGAATATATTTTTTCGAAGTTAGATTTTATTCAGCTGGTTCAAATCATCACCGCCGGCATTTGGGATTGCTGCTGCTTCACTTCATTCTGCTGTTTGGTGTCGAGATGTCTTTTGAGCGCCGTCGTTGAGTAGCCTTTGTAAGAATAGACTGTTTGGAAAGATTGCAAAGAGCCCTGGTCTTCGCTGCTTAGCGGGAGAAAATTTCCAAACGACTGAGCGTAACTTTCACTCGAATGGAGAGGTGACCGAAGCATATCCTGCGACAGGTCAGCAGATGCGAAACAAGACATCAGTAGAGTCCACCAAAGCTGCAACGGCAACTGAAACAACTCAAGTGTCGTGCAGACATACAGTCACCGTAACTGCGAGTGATTTTCACTTTGCGCGGGACTGGACTCTCGATCGACCAGGGAGTCGTAAACTATTTTACGACTCCCCAGTCAACATGTACTGTCATGTGTACGGAGTACGGTGTACGGTGTTCGTTAGTGCAAACCAGCTGGCCGCACAAACGAGCCGGGTTTTTGGCGAGCGAGCTAACGAGTATCCGGTGGGATCGTTTCAACACTATCATACAATTAGGGGTGAAACAATTATACCGAGTACTCGAGTACTCGCTCGGTTTTTTCAAAAATAATCGTACTCGGAATAAATCAGAGTACTCGTTCATACATGGTATATGCATTTACTACAGAAATCTGCAGTTTCAGGGCAGCAGTCAGCAGATGGTGATGTGCGGGCTGTGTGGTGAACATTTGTTCACGAGTAGAGAGAGCCCAAATGACCCACAAACCAATATACCCGAGAAAAATGACTGCTACTCCGTAACTCGGTTCAATCAGGGTTGTATCATGTTATTTTAAAGCCCTTGGTGTGCAATTTTTAGGAGATGAAAAATACTCAAATACTCGAATATTCGATCGGAGAAAATCAGAGTACTCGAACTCGGGATCTCAGTGCCAACTTTCACCCCTACATACAATGTTTTCAAAACCCATTGCAGTGCTTGATGCACTCACTGAAAGTGCAAGGCAAGGAGAAACAGAATCGAACGTACCACTGGTAACAGGACTTGTAGGAGAGACTACTAAATAGAACACAGCAAAATACATACACATAGATACCAGCGCATTTAGGGTAACAAAAGGACATAAACGAAAACGAGGAATTCAGTACCAGGGGTCGAGCAGCAACTAATTACTTCTAACATGCTCTGTGGTGTGATACAGACGCACTAGTTGTATACAGAGCACACACCGAGACTCCCAAGAAAGACACATACATCTTAGCACGGCTAGTCGTATACGGAGTACACACCGAGCCTACCATGAAACACACATCAGTGGCGGATCCAGGATTTGGCCGAAGAGGGGGCCCAAGGTATCCGTCCCGGATGCCCCCTGCCCCCCCCCCCCCCCCCACTCACTGAAAGTGCAAGGCAAGGAGAAACAGAATCGAACGTACCACTGGTAATAGGACTTGTAGGAGAGACTACTAAATAGAACACAGCAAAATACACACACATAGATACCAGCGCATTTAGGGTAACAAAAGGACATAAACGAAAACGAGGAATTCAGTACCAGGGGTCGAGCAGCAACTAATTACTTCTGACATGCTCTGTGGTGTGATACAGACGTACTAGTTGTATACAGAGCACACACCGAGACTCCCAAGAAAGACACATACATCTTAGCACGGCTAGTCGTATACGGAGTACACACCGAGCCTACCATGAAACACACATCAGTGGCGGATCCAGGATTTGGCCGAAGAGGGGGCCCAAGGTATCCGTCCCGGATGCCCCCTGCCCCCCCCCCCCCCCCCTGGATCCGCCACTGCACATACATCTTTGCACGGCTAGAAACAATTCTGCCACAAGTCTTTCTAGTACACGTTGCAGAAAGTTGTTGTCACTGCTCTAATGGCCATTTTTCCACCAGTAGATGCAACACAGTGGTCATGCAGTGTTTTCAAAACCCATTGCAGTGCTTGATGCACTCACTGAAAGTGCAAGGCAAGGAGAAACAGAATCGAACGTACCACTGGTAACAGGACTTGTAGGAGAGACTACTAAATAGAACACAGCAAAATACACACACATAGATACCAGCGCATTTAGGGTAACAAAAGGACATAAACGAAAACGAGGAATTTAGTACCAGGGGTCGAGCAGCAACTAATTACTTCTGACATGCTCTGTGGTGTGATACAGACGCACTAGTTGTATACAGAGCACACACTGAGACTCCCAAGAAAGACACATACATCTTAGCACGGCTAGTCGTATACGGAGTACACACCGAGCCTACCATGAAACACACATCAGTGGCGGATCCAGGATTTGGCCGAAGAGGGGGCCCAAGGTATCCGTCCCGGATGCCCCCTGCCCCCCCCCCCCCCCCTGGATCCGCCACTGCACATACATCTTTGCACGGCTAGAAACAATTCTGCCACAAGTCTTTCTAGTACACGTTGCAGAAAGTTGTTGTCACTGCTCTAATGGCCATTTCTGCACCAGTAGATGCAACACAGTGGTCATGCAGTGTTTTCAAAACCCATTGCAGTGCTTGATGCACTCACTGAAAGTGCAAGGCAAGGAGAAACAGAATCGAACGTACCACTGGTAACAGGACTTGTAGGAGAGACTACTAAATAGAACACAGCAAAATACACGCACATATATACCGACACACAAGCATATGCGTTACACACAGAAAGGCAGAGATGGAAAGAAGCAAGTGAAAACCTAGATTGCAGCTACTAGTGATCCCCATGTGAAGTACACATAGGTTTTGCCATACAGGAGTGTGCACTCAAACATTGCCAGTGACATTAGTGTTCAGCGCCTGTCTCTGTCTCACCCAAGCATGAACCATGGCACAATTCACAACACATCAATGTGAAGTTGTGTGATGCATAGCGCACAAGGCACTTACCCACACACTTGCTCCCTGCCCATATATAGTTTAGTTTACAAATACAGTTGACAGTGCCTTGTCCCATCATGTGATTACAGGATTCAACATTGATGTCATCGGAACATCTAACTCTGCAACCTGGAATGGAAATAGAAGAGAACGGGTGCAAAAAGTGTGCCATTTACCGGTATTATTATAGACCAGCATGTTTGTGTGTTTGCTTGGAACTAGGATAATTCAAGGTCTATTTTAGACGTTAGTTTTATTACGCAAGTCGTCATTGTCGGCAAAAACGGATAGTGAGCGTGAAATTGTGTGCTAGAGTGATCACTATATGGGCCTCAACCAGCGAAAACAGCCCTTAGGGTCGAATTTTTCAAAATTCCTTTTTGGTTAGAAATTTGTTGAAACACATCTACTGAAGGACCTCAGCCAAGAAAAAGTTCAATATTCCGATTCAAAACAAGTGTATACACCAATATACAAGGTGTACTGTACAAGCAGAAAATTTCGTCGGTCAATAATTTCGTCCAACTCCAAAGAAAGGGAGTTCGTCCGGTTGTAAATTTCGTCCATGGATCATAGGAGTGTATTGAAAAGCTGGACAAATTAATATTAGTCCAGCATTTAATTTAGTCCAACAGCTCGTTGGACGAAAAAGACGAAATTAAATTCCAGACGAATATTTCTGCTTGTACAGTACTCCAAATTGGTGCAATGTATGTATACGATGTATGTTTACAATAAATATTCAGCATTCTAAGATGGGTAGGCAGCTTGAATACCTTTGAAAGAGTGTAGTAAGCAGCTAGAATGACAAAGAATAGCTGAAGAGTGCGGAGACATGATCGACTTATTTGCAGCTGCATCCTGCGTGGAGTCGTTCCGCAATGACGGTCTTCCATTTCTTCCTCCGCAGCTGATAACACGACGTCGCTGCCGTCACTAGCCCCAGACTCACAATTTATCTCAGGTGATGACTCCTCATCTTCCGACTCTGACGAGTCATCGACCACCTTGAGCCGCAACGCAGCAGGAGATGACGGCTGCGATTCCGCCTCGCTGTCGACATCGATGTCGGAACCAAAGAATGTCTCATCCTCACTCTGACCTTCAGCGGCTACTTCAGCATCCACTCCCCACCAGGCTCGAGCTAGCTGTACACAATGACTGCCGCGTGTGCTCTGCGAACAGCTCTGGCGTCCGCAGCCATCACAACAAGATCAAGGAACACTCAAGTCGCCACTCGACACCACTTCAACTAACAAACTTCAAATAAATTCAAGCAAGGAGTTCAAGAAGAACTCGCCGCACTGTTCGCAGCGCGATCAAAAAACCGTTGAACGTCACAAATCGACCTTTTTCATGAAAAAATTACGAAACCTCTAAGGGTCGTTTTCGCTGATTGCGGCTCATATTTAGACAGGCATAGCAGGTAGAATGTGACCTCCATCACCAGTTAGTAACACTTTGAGACACAAATGACCGGTGCACAACTTCACGGCCATTTGAAACCGCTTTCCAACTGTTCTCGTTCGGCAACTCGACAGACCCAGATAAAGCTCGAAAAATAACTCACTGCTTCACACTCTTAAAACCCCGAAAAAACAACCCTCACCACTAGTAGTGTGGAAACGATCTCACCGGGTACTCGTTAGCTCGCTCGCCAGAAACTCGGTTTGTTTGTCCGGCCAGCTCATGTGCACTAACAAACACCGCACCGTAAAATTCCGTAAATAAGCCCACCCTAAATAACGCCTGTTTCAGTCAACTCGTCACTCAGTTCACACCAGCCAACACGGTTCAATCCAACAATGGGATTAATCAATACATGCAATAAGAATAAATACAAGGAAAACGGTTCGGGATAATAAATTAGGACACTCAGGATCTGGCCGCCATTCTCGGGCTCTCTCTCTTGATCTCCTCGACCTTGCGCCAGGATCCGTCCATATGTACAAGCACTACAACAAGTATCACGTGCGACCTACGTCGCTGGTAGACTGCATGGTACTACCCAGCGCTAGGGATAGGGCATGCCAAGTATGTGGCGAATGCGTACAGAAGGAACACAGTGCAGGTAGGTCTAGGATGCTTCTAGCATACTAGTATCAGCAGATTACTGAAAGCGCATCAATGACAGAGACAAAACATACATTACAACAAGAGTCATGCAACTATCAGCCATAGTTCAGTGGGACTACCACATTTCCTCCCTTCTTAGAAAAGACCAGCGGTCTACTGATAACGACTTGGCTTTCGAGTCGTACGCTGCGGACGGCCAGCAGCTCGCGGAACAGTACTAGGTGTTGCGGCCGTTGGACTGCCGGGAGCTGATGGAACTGTGGAATCTAGCGGAGTAGCTGTTGCTACTACCTCCGTCGGATCCACTTGCAGACGGTCAAGATGACGGCGGAAAGTCACTCCCTCTTCGGTCGTAATGACTGCATCATGTGGTGTTGCTGTGACGATGGTAGCTTTCTCAGTTGAGCCAGAGGGTTGCTTGACAAACACTGCTTGTCCAGGCACCAAAGTGCGGGATTTTGCTTGGTGAGCTGCGTCGAAAGTCACCTTGGATGCTGCCTTGTGCTGAGCATCGCGTTCACGCACTTCCTCGTCTATCTCGCCGTCATCTTCGGCAGTAGCCATGTTATCTACTGGCTGAAGCTGCCTGAGTGGAGTACGATAACCTCCTCGTAGTAGGAGATCTCCCGGCGGTTTGCCGGTAGTGGTGTTGATAGCTGATCGAACAGCTTTGAGCGCCACACGAAGAGCGTCGTCTGCTCGTGGCATGCCGGATTTCCGCATATGTTGCTTCAATGTCCGGTGGAGACGCTCAACAGGGTTCTGACGTGGCGTGTAAGGCACAGTGCGTTCGTGGCTGATGCCCCACGATTCAAGCTGGTTGCGGAACTCGTCGCTGCAGAACTGTGCACCGTTGTCGGAGATGACGTGCCGTGGCATGCCGAACAGCGTGAAGATCTGCTCCAGCGCCTTGATGATGTCCCTGGTCTTCTCAGCTGGTAAGCGGACAACTGCTGGATACCGACTGTACAAGTCCAGAAGGCTGAAGAAGGCGCTTTGCTGGTAATAAAACACATCAATAGCGACGGTGTGCCAGGCATGTGGAGGTAGGTCGCGTGGTTTCAGCGGTACTGGTCGTATACTGGTCGTATAGCTGCTTCTGTCGCACATGGTGTACAGCTGGCTAGGAAATGTCGAGTTGCCGTGTTCCAACCGGGCCACCACACAGTCTCCTTGAGTTGAGCCAGTGTCCTGTCTCGACCAAGGTGTCCCTCGTGAGCCAGGTTCAGTACGTGTTGAGCTGCCGATGCTGGAATCACCACTCTTTCCCCTCTCAGAATGAGAAAGTCCGATGAGTTCGGAAAGGGCCACACGCTGAGTTCCGGACTAAGGGCTTGGTACGGTGCGAGCTCTGTCGCCGACGGCCATTTACCCGATCGCAGCGCATCTGAGTGACGAGTTGACTGAAACATTGGCGCAGTGAACAGGATTCTTTTCTTAGTAAGTCACTCGTTGAACTAGAAGTTTGTAGTTTCCACCACGCACGTGGGAAATGGCAGAAAAAGTAAAAGTCGGCGTCCGCCTTGACCTGGACCACGAGCTGGGAAACGACCATTTCCTTACTTGGCGTAGTCAGTTGGAGATTGGCTTTGCACTCCACGAAGTGAAGGATCAGGCGAAGCAGTATTTGGCAGCAGCTGCCAATTTAGGCGAGTCAGCAAGTCACTACTTATGGCAGAGCTACCCGACAGTGCCAACTACTGCAACTAATCCCTACAACGATCTTATCAAATTGTTCCAAGAATATTTCGGCTCGAAACAGAGCGCAGCGTCCCGTTTGGCGGAATTGTTTGCAGTCGAGCAACGTCCTGGGGAGACTGTACAGGCCTTTCGGCTGCGGGTGCAAAAAGACATGAGGGTTTGCAACCTGACCAGCACTCGTACTGCCGAGGAACTACTGGGAGTTGTGGGAGTCCACCTGTTTGCACGGGGGCTCAACTCTGCCAGTGCCCGAAAGAGTGTCTTGGAGCACGATGCGCAGGACTTGAGCTCCGCCGCAGCCAAGGCGCAGGCAGTGGTATTAGCTGAAGAGGGTGCCAAAGAAGCACCAGTGCCAGAGGTCAGCTATGCAGCTACGCGTCAACCTGGACATGCACCATTGCCAGCATCAGGCTGTGGGTATTGTGGAGAGACGCACGCTCCCGGCAAGCCGAACTGCCCAGCAGCGCGTATGTTCTGTGCCCAGTGTGGGCGTAAGGGACATTTTGCATCGGTGTGCCGTGCCGGATCTGTTCGAGTGGACCGCAGTGCCCAGACCCAGTCGCAGAGCACGTCATCCAGGCAACACAACCGATCAGCACCAGCCGTTTCGTCACTCCGAACTGGTGCAGCATCACCAGCCGTACAGTCCGCCCAGCCACCAGAGGCCTATGAAACATTCGGGGTACAGGCAGGGAAGACCGGTTTCACTCTACCTCTGAGGCAGGTAACCTTGGACTGCCGACACACCTTGTCGCTAAGAGTGGACTCTGCCAGCATGGTTTCCATCATCCCTAAGTCATTACTCCCATCTGGGTACGTCCTGTTACCGCCGCCATGCCCACTCCAGCCAGTGGGGACGCAACGCATAACAGCTGTGGGCGTGTTTGAGGGTAACCTGAGCTATCAGGGCCGCGAAACGACTGAGACTATCTTTGTAGTCGATGACGCACAATGCACTGTGCCAGCATTACTGGGAGAGCAGGCCTCCATCCGTTTAGGTCTTTTGGCATTGCCGATTTCAGCAGTTGAAATCCCAGCCTGTGCCGAGGGCCTAGCGTCACTCCCTGCTATGCGCGGCCCGATTACAATCGCTCTCGATCCGGATCACCCTCCGTCACAACAGTCATCTCGACGGGTAGCACCGGCACTGCTCACCTCGCTACGCCAACAACTAGATGCATGGCTAGAACAAGGAGTGGTCGAGATGGTGGAGGAAGTAACGGCTCAGGACTTTGTTTCGCCACTGGTAGCCACACCGAAACCCGACAAAACCATGCGCTGGTGCGTAGATTTACGACAAGTCAACGCAGCGGTAAGGCGACCGGGTGTGCAACTCCCAACAGCTGATGAGCTTCTATCTCAACTGTCGGGCGCACAGATGTTCTCGAAGCTTGACCTGAAGTCCGGGTATTCTCAGCTCGAGATCTCACCTGAATGTCGCCATGCCTTCGTGGTCGCCTCACCCTTGGGGTACTTCCGTTTCTGTCGTCTACCGTTCGGCGTGTCCAGCGGCCCTGAATTATTTCAACGTAAGATGGAGCAAATTCTGGCAGGATGTGAAGGGGTAGTCATCTACCTAGACGACATTCTGATTTATGCTCCATCATTGGAAGAGCATGATCGACGCAAGGCAGCAGTCCTGACGGCTCTCAAGGAGTACAATGTCACCCTGAACGACAAGAAGTGCGTCTTCCAGGTCTCAGAGCTGGAGTTTCTGGGACATCACGTCTCGGCGAAGGGCATTTCGCCAGGTCCATCGAAGGTTGAGTCACTCAGTCAGATGTCGGATCCCACCAATGTGGCCGAACTCCGAGCATTTCTGGGCTTAGCAACCTACGTGGCAAAGTTTATTCCTAACATTGCCTCGGTTGTCGCTCCGATGACAGCACTATTGTCTGGCGAGTGGAATTGGATATCGGCTTGCCACACCGCAGCTGAGAAGATACGCAGTTTGATTACTAGTGCACCTATTCTGGCGCTATTTGACCCAACTCTGCCGACCCGCATCGAAGTTGACGCGTCTGGCCATGGCCTTGGAGCAGTACTCCTACAGCAGTCGCAAACAGATGGTCAAGAGTGGCGACCTGTCTATTACGCAGGCAGAAAGTTGTCAGATGCAGAGTCACGCTATGCAACCATCGAGCGAGAGGCACTGGCGGTCGCGTGGGGCTCTAATCGTTTCCGCAGCTTCATCACCGGCATGCCTGTGACCATTATCACTGACCACAAGCCACTGGTTCACGTATTTATGCCATCGTACAAGCTAGCCTCAGCTAGTCTCCGAATACAGCGCCTGGTGTTGAAAGTGCAAGACTTGACCCTAACCGTGCAATATCGCCCCGGCAAGTTGAATCACATTGCTGACGCATTGTCCAGGCTGCCGGCTGAGGATGCTGACCCGAGTTTCCTTCTCGTCCATGCTGTCACCGTGGCAGACGGTGTTTCAGCACATCGCCAGTTGATTGCCAGAGAAACAGCGCGTGACTCCACTCTGTGCTCAGTGCGAGATGCGCTGCGATCGGGTAAATGGCCGTCGGCGACAGAGCTCGCACCGTACCAAGCCCTTAGTCCGGAATTCAGCGTGTGGCCCTTTCCGAACTCGTCGGACTTTCTCATTCTGAGAGGGGAAAGAGTGGTGATTCCAGCATCGGCAGCTCAACACGTACTGAACCTGGCTCACGAGGGACACCTTGGTCGAGACAGGACACTGGCTCAACTCAAGGAGACTGTGTGGTGGCCCGGTTGGAACACGGCAACTCGACATTTCCTAGCCAGCTGTACACCATGTGCGACAGAAGCTGCTATACGACCAGTACCGCTGAAACCACGCGACCTACCTCCACATGCCTGGCACACCGTCGCTATTGATGTGTTTTATTACCAGCAAAGCGCCTTCTTCAGCCTTCTGGACTTGTACAGTCGGTATCCAGCAGTTGTCCGCTTACCAGCTGAGAAGACCAGGGACATCATCAAGGCGCTGGAGCAGATCTTCACGCTGTTCGGCATGCCACGGCACGTCATCTCCGACAACGGTGCACAGTTCTGCAGCGACGAGTTCCGCAACCAGCTTGAATCGTGGGGCATCAGCCACGAACGCACTGTGCCTTACACACCACGTCAGAACCCTGTTGAGCGTCTCCACCGGACATTGAAGCAACATATGCGGAAATCCGGCATGCCACGAGCAGACGACGCTCTTCGTGTGGCGCTCAAAGCTGTTCGATCAGCTATCAACACCACTACCGGCAAACCGCCGGGAGATCTCCTACTACGAGGAGGTTATCGTACTCCACTCAGGCAGCTTCAGCCAGTAGATAACATGGCTACTGCCGAAGATGACGACGAGGTAGACGAGGAAGTGCGTGAACGCGATGCTCAGCACAAAGCAGCATCCAAGGTGACTTTCGACGCAGCTCACCAAGCAAAACCCCGCACTTTGGTGCCTGGACAAGCAGTGTTTGTCAAGCAACCCTCTGGCTCAACTGAGAAAGCTACCATCGTCACAGCAACACCACATGATGCAGTCATTACGACTGAAGAGGGAGTGACTTTCCGCCGTCATCTTGACCGTCTGCAAGTGGATCCGACGGAGGTAGTAGCAACAGCTACTCCGCTAGATTCCACAGTTCCATCAGCTCCCGGCAGTCCAACGGCCGCAACACCTAGTACTGTTCCGCCAGCTGCTGGCCGTCCGCAGCGTACGACTCGAAAGCCAAGTCGTTATCAGTAGACCGCTGGTCTTTTCTAAGAAGGGAGGAAATGTGGTAGTCCCACTGAACTATGGCTGATAGTTGCATGACTCTGGTTGTAATGTATGTTTTGTCTCTGTCATTGATGCGCTTTCAGTAATCTGCTGATACTAGTATGCTAGAAGCATCCTAGACCTACCTGCACTGTGTTCCTTCTGTACGCATTCGCCACATACTTGGCATGCCCTATCCCTAGCGCTGGGTAGTACCATGCAGTCTACCAGCGACGTAGGTCGCACGTGATACTTGTTGTAGTGCTTGTACATATGGACGGATCCTGGCGCAAGGTCGAGGAGATCAAGAGAGAGAGCCCGAGAATGGCGGCCAGATCCTGAGTGTCCTAATTTATTATCCCGAACCGTTTTCCTTGTGTTTATTCTTATTGCATGTATTGATTAATCCCATTGCTGGATTGAACCGTGTTGGCTGGTGTGAACTGAGTGACGAGTTGACTGAAACAACGCCCATGTCCGATAATAAGCCCAGTTTTAGGCGGTGTACACTTCAAGTCCGTTTTAGCGCCCATGCCCGAAATAAGCCCAGGGCGTAAAGTGTCGTGCCATTTACTTACCATAGCAAGTGGTTTACCTATCAAATCTGTAATTTATCGCTACATTCTTGGTTACGACCAAATTTCCAGCTGTGGTTTGATGTACCTGTACCGCACTCAGTATGAATGGCGGTTCACTGAAACTAGTGGGTTGCTGATAAATTCATCTTCTGTAGATTGCGTCGGAAATAACGCCCATGCCCTAAAAAAAGCCCATGCCCAAATATACGCCCGGTTTTTGACGCTCTGCAAAGTATATGCCCGGGGCTTATTAACGGAATTTTACAGTCCTCCGTACACATGGCGGAATATATCGACGTCGGGAGTCGTAAATATTTTACGACTCCCTGGTACGAAGAGTCCAGTCCCACGCAAAAAGAAAATCACTCGCAGTTACAGTGACCGTATGCCTGCACAACGCGAATGTGTTTCAGTTGTTGTTGCAGCTTTGGTGGCCTCCACTGATGTCTTGGTCTGCATCTGCTGATCTGTCGCAGGACATGCTTCTGTCAACTTTCCATTCGAGTGTAAAGTTATCGATCCTTGAACAGGTAGTACTTTCATGGGAAAATACGATTTTTACAGGTGTTGACGTTTGGGCGCGTTCAGGTAGCGTCGTGCTAAAGATACGCTTGTTTCAACACCAATAATAACTAGCGTACCGACTTACTTTCACATGCTGGTGGTCTTGGGTTCCATACTCCGCCACTCTGGCATGTAGAATAGGTCACATCCAGACTGGTGTTAGCAAGAAACCCAGCTTGACACCTTATTGATATGTTCGTACCAATCGCTCTGCTAAAATCAGTAATGGGTTTGAAGTTGTGTTTTGCAAAAATGAGATCTGGACAAAGTTCTGGAAACAAAGAAGAGAACATTCAAGCCGGTTGTAGGTTTTGTGGTAGCAAGTCTTCAGTGTACAATAATGGATAGAGTGAAGACTTGAGAAATAAACCATGATCGGAATTTCAAAATTTGGGACTTGATGGAGAGTTGCAAAGTATTAGGAAATTAGACCAGGTGCCTCGTACTGCTCTTTTTCTCTCCAAAACTCAACACTTGCTAATCAGATACGAAAGAAAGAAAAAACTCATCAGTCACACCACCAGGACTCGAACCAGGGATCTTCGCGAGCAAGGTCCCTGGTTCGAGTTAGTCCCATATAGTCCCATAATAGCTGCAGAATGTGAAAGTGAAAAAACAAAAAACAAGCGCCCTACATCAGAGCATCCGGACACGAGTCCGTGTATGGAAGGTGTGGGGGAAAGCATACGGGATGCAGTGACAGGCGTACAGCCAGCATGCACCACAGAGTGTGCATAAACCATGAACGGAAATCACGTATTATTAGAGAGGTTGCGCACAACGAAAATTCGTAGCGCCGTAACGAATATTTTTAACGAAAAAAGCTAACGAATATTCGTCAACCGTGAGGTTGCGCACAACGCGTGGACGTTTTCGTAGCGGGTCGACGCGGCGGCCGCGCGGCTACGAAGAGTCAAGACAAGGAGTTGTAAAATATCAATATTTTAGTACTCCAGGTGACGAAAAATATTTTCGTAGATCTGCTCTGTTTCGGTCACGTTTGGACGGATCTTCGGAGCAACTTTCGTTACTCGAACCCGGACGGTCGAAATCTAACGAATTTTCGTTGTGCGCAACCTCTCTATTCATTGTTCTGAAAAACCTCTACTGGTGCAGCCCCGTCGTAAAAGTAAGAAATTAGAACTGGCGCATTGTCCCCCCCCCCCCCCAAATATGAACTGATCCACCTAAATCGCGATGCACAAGTGCTACAAAACTAGGCTATTGTTCCGTCGAACATAAATACTCCAACATAGTCGGAGACCAGGTTCTAGATGCGCCAATGAAAGAATATTCGGGACGAGAAAAAGTGGTCGGATCGATAAGGTTGTCGGAGACTCAAGTTTCACTGTGCAGGAATGTAGTGTTATTTTGTATCACACATGTGCAATAGTCAGGTGTACACACACACACATGTACAATAGTCAGGTGTACACACACACACATGTGCAATAGTCAGGTGTACACACACACACATGTACAATAGTCAGGTGTACACACACACACATGTACAATAGTCAGGTGTACACACACACATGTGTACATACACGTAATATTGCGAGTGAGACACAAAGCTAATAAATCATTTCTCAATTTCATTCTCCATTCTACTCCAGTAGCCATGCTGTACAGTACAAAGTAAGTTATTGAGAGATTATTGCACAGGAAATAGGAAATGGTTTCAAACTTACCTACAATGTTGAGTTGATATGTTTGTGTAGAGTTGCCTGTAGCTGTTCTGCAATGGTACAGTCCAGTGTATGAAGTGTCCAGTATAGGATGTACTGTGGTGTTCACCAGTACAATAGTACCTCCTGAGAAGGCACCTGTCTCAGCCCACACTAGACTACCATCAGTCTTCTCTAGTCGAATGAATGGTCCTGATCCACTGGCCACCAAGCATACAGGTAAGTAATCGGTAACATTGGCTGTAGGTTGTCCATCACCAAATGTCACGCGGAATGCTGTTGTTGATTGTCCTGTACCAGCAGCATTTAGACTGACATGTTGACCTGTATGAAGGTACACATGTGGAACAGTGTGACAATGCTAACTCAATACATCACTACCAGCAATGACAATGACCTGACAATACTATCACAATGCTAACTCAATACATCACTACCAGCAATGACAATGACCTGACAATACTATCATAATGCTAACTCAATACATCACTACCAGCAATGACAATGACCTGACAATACTATCATAATGCTAACTCAATACATCACTACCAGCAATGACAATGACCTGACAATACTATCATAATGCTAACTCAATACATCACTACCAGCAATGACAATGACCTGACAATACTATCACAATGCTAACTCAATACATCACTACCAGCAATGACAATGACCTGACAATACTATCACAATGCTAACTCAATACATCACTACCAGCAATGACAATGACCTGACAATACTATCACAATGTTAACTCAATACATCACTACCAGCAATGACAATGACCTGACAATACTAGCACAATGCTGCAGTTGCATTAGCCTTCACACAAACATCAGGGAAGCAAACAACATTGACATCTGACACACATGAAAATAATGACATTGCCAGAACCAAATTCATCCACCATAATAGATCTTACCATTGCAGCCTGTCAGCAACAGGGGACAGAAGAGAAGCAAGCTGCCAATCAGGACCCCTTCACAGTGGGACACACAAAGAGAAAATGAGAACAGAGATCTCATTTTTTTCGAAGCCGTGGTAGCAGCCATTTTCGCCAGCTGTAGTCGCAGCCATTTTCGCAGCCGTTGTCGCGAACATTTTTTCGCAGCCGTGGTAACAGTCATTTTCGCAGCCGTGGTCGCAGCCCTTTTTTCTCAGCCGTGGTCGCAGCCATTTTCGCAGCCGTGGTCGTAGCCATTTTCGCAGCCGTGGTTGAAGCCATTTTTTGCAGCCGTGGTCGCAGCCATTGTTTCGCAGCCGTCGTCGCAGCCATTTTGTCGCAGCCGTGGTCACAGCCATTTTCTCAGCCGTGGTCGCAGCCATTTTTTTTGCAGCCGTGGTCGCAGCCATTGTTTCGCAGCCGTCGTCGCAGCCATTTGGTCGCAGCCGTGGTCCAAGCCATTTTCGCAGCCGTGGTCGCACCCATTTTTTCGCAGCCGTGGTCGCAGCCATTTTCGCAGCCGTGGTCGCAGCCATTTTCGCAGCCGTGGTCGCAGCCATTTTGTCGCAGCCGTGGTCGCAGCCATTTTCGCAGCCGTGGTCGCAGCCGCAGTCGCAGCCTTTTTTTCGCAGCCGTCGTCGCAGTAATTTTCGCCGCCGTCGTCGCAGCTATTTTCGCATCCATGGTCGCAGCAATATTCGCAGCCATTTTTTCGCAGCCGTCGACGCAGCCATTTTCGCAGTCGTCGTCGCAGCCATATTACGCAGCCGTGGTCGCAACCATTTCCGCAGCCGTGGACGCAGCCATTTTTTCGAAGCCGTGGTCGCGGCCATTTTTCGCAGCCGTGGTCACAGCTATTTTCGCAGCCGTGGTCACAGCCATTTTCGCAGCCATGGTCGCAGCCATTTTCGCAGCCGTCGTCGCAGCCGTCGTCGCAGCCATTTTGTCGCAGTCTGTGCCGCCTCCATTGTCGCAACCGGTTTCTGTTTAGCAGTTATCGTCGCAGTCTGTGCCGCCTCCGTTTTCCCAACCGTTTTCTGTGTCGCAGTCGTCGTCACAGTCTGTGCCGCCTCCGTTGCTACAACCGTTTTCTGTGGCGCAGTCCTCGTCGCAGTCTGTGCTGCCTCCGTTGTCACAACCGTTTTCTGGGTCGCAGTCCTCGTCGCAGTCTGTGCCCCCTCCGTTGGCACAACCGTTTTCTGTGTCGCATTCGTCGTGGCAGTCTGTGCCGCATCCATTGTCACAACCGCTTTCTGTGTCGCAGTTGTCGTGGCAGTCTGTGCCGCCTCCGTTGTCACAACCGTTTTCTGTGTCGCAGTCGTCGTCGCAGTCTGTGCTGCCTCCGTTGTCACAACCGTTTTCTGTGTCACAGTCGTCGTCGCAGTCTGTGCCCCCTCCGTTGGCACAACCGTTTTCTGTGTCGCATTCGTCGTGGCAGTCTGTGCCGCCTCAGTTGTCACAACCGTTTTCTGTGTCGCAGTTGTCGTGGCAGTCTGTGCCGCCTCCGTTGTCACAACCGTTTTCTGTGTCGCAGTCGTCGTCGCAGTCTGCGACGCCTCCGTTGTCACATTTGCTGCCTACGTGTATGTCACAACCGCTGTTTGCAAAGCAGACATTTTTTCGCAGCCATTTTCGCAGCCGTTGTCGCAGCCATTATTTCGAAGCCGTGGTCGCAGCCATTTTCGCCAGCTGTGGTCGCAGCCATTTTCGCAGCCGTTGTCGCGAACATTTTTTCGCAGCCGTGGTAGCAGTCATTTTCGCAGCCGTGGTCGCAGCCCGTTTTTCTCAGCTGTAGTCGCAGCCATTTTCGCAGCCGTGGTTGTAGCCATTTTCGCAGCCGTGGTTGAAGCCATTTTTTGCAGCCATGGTCGCAGCCATTGTTTCGCAGCCGTGGTCGCAGCCATTTTGTCGCAGCCGTGGTCGCAGCCATTTTCTCAGCCGTGGTCGCAGCCATTTTTTTGCAGCCGTGATCGCAGCCATTGTTTCGCAGCCGTGGTCGCAGCCATTTTCGCAGCCGTGTCGCAGCCATTTTCGCAGCCGTGGTCGCAGCCATTTTGTCGCAGCCGTGGTCGCAGCCATTTTCGCAGCCGTGGTCGCAGCCGCGGTCGCAGCCATTTTTTCGCAACCGTCGTCGCAGTAATTTTCGCCGCCGTCGTCGCAGCTATTTTCGCATTCATGGTCGCAGCCATTTTCGCAGCCGTGTCGCAGCCATATTCGCAGCCGTGGTCGCAGCCATTTTTTCGCAGCCGTCGACGCAGCCATTTTCGCAGTCATGGTCGCAGCCATATTACGCAGCCGTGGTCGCAGCCATTTTTGCAGCCGTGGATGCAGCCATTTTTCGAAGCCGTGGTCGCAGCCATTTTTCGAAGCCGTGGTCGCAGCCATTTTTTCGCAGCACTGGTCGCAGCCATTTTCGCAGCCGTGGTCACAGCCTTTTCGCAGCAGTGGTCGCAGCCATTTTCGCAGCCGTGGTCACAGCCATTTTGTCGCTGTCTGTGCCGCCTCCGTTGTCGCAACCGGTTTCTGTTTAGCAGTTATCGTCGCAGTCTGTGCCGCCTCCGTTTTCCCAACCGTTTTCTGTGTCGCAGGCGTCGTCGCAGTCTGTGCCGCCTCCGTTGTCACAGCCATTTTCTGTGTCGCAGTTGTCATGGCAGTTTGTGCTGCCTCCGTTGTCACAACCGTTTTCTGTGTCGCAGTCGTCGTCGCAGTCTGTGCCCCCTCCGTTGTCACAACCGTTTTCTCTGTCGCAGTCGTCGTCGCAGTCTGTGCCTCCTCCGTTGGCACAACTGTTTTCTGTGTCGTAGTCATCGTGGCAGTCTGTGCCGCCTCCGTTGTCACAACCGTTTTCTGTGTCGCAGTCGTCGTCGCAGTCTGTGCTGCCTCCGTTGTCACAACCGTTTTCTGTGTCACAGTCGTCGTCGCAGTCTGTGCCCCCTCCGTTGGCACAACCGTTTTCTGTGTCGCATTCGTCGTGGCAGTCTGTGCCGCCTCAGTTGTCACAACCGTTTTCTGTGTCGCAGTTGTCGTGGCAGTCTGTGCCGCCTCCGTTGTCACAACCGTTTTCTGTGTCGCAGTCGTCGTCGCAGTCTGCGACGCCTCCGTTGTCACATTTGCTGCCTACGTGTATGTCACAACCGCTGTTTGCAAAGCAGACATTTTTTCGCAGCCGTCGTCGCAGCCATTTTCGCAGCCGTTGTCGCAGCCATTATTTCGAAGCCGTGGTCGCAGCCATTTTCGCCAGCTGTGGTCGCAGCCATTTTCGCAGCCGTTGTCGCGAACATTTTTTCGCAGCCGTGGTAGCAGTCATTTTCGCAGCCGTGGTCGCAGCCCGTTTTTCTCAGCTGTAGTCGCAGCCATTTTCGCAGCCGTGGTTGTAGCCATTTTCGCAGCCGTGGTTGAAGCCATTTTTTGCAGCCATGGTCGCAGCCATTGTTTCGCAGCCGTGGTCGCAGCCATTTTGTCGCAGCCGTGGTCGCAGCCATTTTCTCAGCCGTGGTCGCAGCCATTTTTTTGCAGCCGTGATCGCAGCCATTGTTTCGCAGCCGTGGTCGCAGCCATTTTCGCAGCCGTGTCGCAGCCATTTTCGCAGCCGTGGTCGCAGCCATTTTGTCGCAGCCGTGGTCGCAGCCATTTTCGCAGCCGTGGTCGCAGCCGCGGTCGCAGCCATTTTTTCGCAACCGTCGTCGCAGTAATTTTCGCCGCCGTCGTCGCAGCTATTTTCGCATTCATGGTCGCAGCCATTTTCGCAGCCGTGTCGCAGCCATATTCGCAGCCGTGGTCGCAGCCATTTTTTCGCAGCCGTCGACGCAGCCATTTTCGCAGTCATGGTCGCAGCCATATTACGCAGCCGTGGTCGCAGCCATTTTTGCAGCCGTGGATGCAGCCATTTTTCGAAGCCGTGGTCGCAGCCATTTTTCGAAGCCGTGGTCGCAGCCATTTTTTCGCAGCACTGGTCGCAGCCATTTTCGCAGCCGTGGTCACAGCCTTTTCGCAGCAGTGGTCGCAGCCATTTTCGCAGCCGTGGTCACAGCCATTTTGTCGCTGTCTGTGCCGCCTCCGTTGTCGCAACCGGTTTCTGTTTAGCAGTTATCGTCGCAGTCTGTGCCGCCTCCGTTTTCCCAACCGTTTTCTGCGTCGCAGGCGTCGTCGCAGTCTGTGCCGCCTCCGTTGTCACAGCCATTTTCTGTGTCGCAGTTGTCATGGCAGTTTGTGCTGCCTCCGTTGTCACAACCGTTTTCTGTGTCGCAGTCGTCGTCGCAGTCTGTGCCTCCTCCGTTGGCACAACTGTTTTCTGTGTCGTAGTCATCGTGGCAGTCTGTGCCGCCTCCGTTGTCACAACCGCTCTCTGTGTCGCAGTTGTCGTGGCAGTCTGTGCCCCCTCCGTTGTCACAACCGTTTTCTCTGTCGCAGTCGTCGTCGCAGTCTGTGCCTCCTCCGTTGGCACAACTGTTTTCTGTGTCGTAGTCATCGTGGCAGTCTGTGCCGCCTCCGTTGTCACAACCGCTCTCTGTGTCGCAGTTGTCGTGGCAGTCTGTGCCGCCTCCGTTGTCACCACTGTTTTCTGTGTCGCAGTCGTCGTCGCAGTCTGTGCTGCATCCGTTGTCACAACCGTTTTCTGTGTCACAGTCGTCGTCGCAGTCTGTGCTCCCTCCGTTGGCACAACCGTTTTCTGTGTCGCATTCGTCGTGGCAGTCTGTGCCGCCTCCATTGTCACAACCGTTTTCTGTGTCGCAGTTGTCGTGGCAGTCTGCGCCGCCTCCGTTGTCACAACCGTTTTCTGTGTCGCAGTCGTCGTCGCAGTCTGCGACGCCTCCGTTTTCACATTTGCTGCCTATATGTATGTCACAACCGCTGTTTGCAACGCAGACATTTTTTCGCGGCCTTCGTCGCAGCCATTTTCGCAGCCGTCGTCGCAGCCTTTTTTTCGCAGCCGTGGACGCAGCCATTTTTGCAGCCGTGGTCGCAGCCCTTTTCGCCGGCTGTGGTCGCAGCCATTTTCGCAGCCGTTGTCGCTAACATTTTTTCGCAGCCGTGGT